CTGTCTTCCTGTGATAGAGCTCCACTGAGCTCTGTCATGATCCGATGCACTATAGTGGCTACAGTGTCACTGTTAGATGAACTGGGAGCCTGTACTGACAGACCTGTTTTCTGCAATTCCTGTTGTGGCACCTGCTGCTGCACTACAGTGGCTACAGTGTCATTGTTAGATGCACTGGGAGCCTGTCCAGACAGACCTGTTTTCTGCAATTCCTGTTGTGGCACCTGCTGCTGCACTACAGTGGCTACAGTGTCATTGTTAGATGCACTGGGAGCCTGTCCAGACAGACCTGTTTTCTGCAATTCCTGTTGTGGCACCTGCTGCTGCACTACAGTGGCTACAGTGTCATTGTTAGATGCACTGGGAGCCTGTCCAGACAGACCTGTTTTCTGCAATTCCTGTTGTGGCACCTGCTGCTGCACTACAGTGGCTACAGTGTCATTGTTAGATGCACTGGGAGCCTGTCCAGACAGACCTGTTTTCTGCAATTCCTGTTGTGGCACCTGCTGCTGCACTACAGTGGCTACAGTGTCATTGTTAGATGCACTGGGAGCCTGTCCAGACAGACCTGTTTTCTGCAATTCCTGTTGTGGCACCTGCTGCTGCACTACAGTGGCTACAGTGTCATTGTTAGATGCACTGGGAGCCTGTCCAGACAGACCTGTTTTCTGCAATTCCTGTTGTGGCACCTGCTGCTGCACTACAGTGGCTACAGTGTCATTGTTAGATGCACTGGGAGCCTGTCCAGACAGACCTGTTTTCTGCAATTCCTGTTGTGGCACCTGCTGCTGCACTACAGTGGCTACAGTGTCATTGTTAGATGCACTGGGAGCCTGTCCAGACAGACCTGTTTTCTGCAATTCCTGTTGTGGCACCTGCTGCTGCACTACAGTGGCTACAGTGTCATTGTTAGATGCACTGGGAGCCTGTCCAGACAGACCTGTTTTCTGCAATTCCTGTTGTGGCACCTGCTGCTGCACTACAGTGGCTACAGTGTCATTGTTAGATGCACTGGGAGCCTGTCCAGACAGACCTGTTTTCTGCAATTCCTGTTGTGGCACCTGCTGCTGCACTACAGTGGCTACAGTGTCATTGTTAGATGCACTGGGAGCCTGTCCAGACAGACCTGTTTTCTGCAATTCCTGTTGTGGCACCTGCTGCTGCACTACAGTGGCTACAGTGTCATTGTTAGATGCACTGGGAGCCTGTCCAGACAGACCTGTTTTCTGCAATTCCTGTTGTGGCACCTGCTGCTGCACTACAGTGGCTACAGTGTCATTGTTAGATGCACTGGGAGCCTGTCCAGACAGACCTGTTTTCTGCAATTCCTGTTGTGGCACCTGCTGCTGCACTACAGTGGCTACAGTGTCATTGTTAGATGCACTGGGAGCCTGTCCAGACAGACCTGTTTTCTGCAATTCCTGTTGTGGCACCTGCTGCTGCACTACAGTGGCTACAGTGTCATTGTTAGATGCACTGGGAGCCTGTCCAGACAGACCTGTTTTCTGCAATTCCTGTTGTGGCACCTGCTGCTGCACTACAGTGGCTACAGTGTCATTGTTAGATGCACTGGGAGCCTGTCCAGACAGACCTGTTTTCTGCAATTCCTGTTGTGGCACCTGCTGCTGCACTACAGTGGCTACAGTGTCATTGTTAGATGCACTGGGAGCCTGTCCAGACAGACCTGTTTTCTGCAATTCCTGTTGTGGCACCTGCTGCTGCACTACAGTGGCTACAGTGTCATTGTTAGATGCACTGGGAGCCTGTCCAGACAGACCTGTTTTCTGCAATTCCTGTTGTGGCACCTGCTGCTGCACTACAGTGGCTACAGTGTCATTGTTAGATGCACTGGGAGCCTGTCCAGACAGACCTGTTTTCTGCAATTCCTGTTGTGGCACCTGCTGCTGCACTACAGTGGCTACAGTGTCATTGTTAGATGCACTGGGAGCCTGTCCAGACAGACCTGTTTTCTGCAATTCCTGTTGTGGCACCTGCTGCTGCACTACAGTGGCTACAGTGTCATTGTTAGATGCACTGGGAGCCTGTCCAGACAGACCTGTTTTCTGCAATTCCTGTTGTGGCACCTGCTGCTGCACTACAGTGGCTACAGTGTCATTGTTAGATGCACTGGGAGCCTGTCCAGACAGACCTGTTTTCTGCAATTCCTGTTGTGGCACCTGCTGCTGCACTACAGTGGCTACAGTGTCATTGTTAGATGCACTGGGAGCCTGTCCAGACAGACCTGTTTTCTGCAATTCCTGTTGTGGCACCTGCTGCTGCACTACAGTGGCTACAGTGTCATTGTTAGATGCACTGGGAGCCTGTCCAGACAGACCTGTTTTCTGCAATTCCTGTTGTGGCACCTGCTGCTGCACTACAGTGGCTACAGTGTCATTGTTAGATGCACTGGGAGCCTGTCCAGACAGACCTGTTTTCTGCAATTCCTGTTGTGGCACCTGCTGCTGCACTACAGTGGCTACAGTGTCACTGTTAGACGCACTGGGAGCCTGTACTGACAGACCTGTTTTCTGAAATTCCTGTTGTGGTACATACTGCTCCATGGGTTGCTGGACGCTTTTCCCCTCTATCTGGTGGTGCTGGTGTTGATTGTCTTGGAGTGCAGCTGCGTAGGATTGCTCTGGTGAGGTGAACTTAGAGAAGTATGTCCTCCCAGCTCCCTTTGGAGCTCCTTGTGCTCTTCTCCTTTGCAGTTCTCCTTTCACATGGCTGCAGCCTCAGTATGATGCTGGATGAGGTTTCTCTCCTTCTTCTAGGGTGCAATTGCAGAAACTCGATGTAGATTCTGTATTCGTCTTTTCGGGGCATTTCTTATGCAGGTGGCCACCACCGCATCATAAACATCTTGGAGGTTGCTTGCAGTTGGCCCAGACATGACCAAAGTTTTGGCAATTGTGGCACAGTGTAAGGCCAGTTTGAGCTCTGTATGGTTCTACCTTAATAATTATATGGTTAAGGCTATTCAGTTTGGATATCTCTTGAGATTTTACGTTTCTTGTTAAAGTAACAAGGAAGAGTGGGAGGGTTTCCACGTAGGTCTGTCCATTTGAAGCTCTTCGATTGGTTGGCAATTGCCTCATGTTTATAACAAAGCCTAAGCCCTCAAGGCTGTTGGAAATATCTTCTGTTGGCATGTCTGGGTGAAGGTGGTGGATTACTGCCTCGATAGGATTTTCAGAATTTGGAGAGAAGGTGAAATACTGGAGATTATTTTTCTCCAGGTAGGATTTTATGGCTGAATAATCTGTCATTTCTTTTGTTAAAATACGAGTTCCATTTCGTATGTTTCGGAATTCGTACTCTCATTTGTGTTCTTTTAGGTTGCTTTGGAGTCGAATTAGGTTTATGGTAGAAGTCATCACTATTGGTGGCGGTCTACCTGATTTTCTGGGAGCCTCCTGCTCCGTGTTCTCTGCTTCAGTTGTCTCTGTGTCCATGACATTAGCTCTGAGGGGTGCGAAGAAGTTGCGAGTTGGCACTGCTTTTGGATTCTGCTTGACAGCTGTGGATGTTGGGATTTATTTGGTCGTCCCTGAGGTATCATTAGAGATATGCCTCTTACATCTCTTTACTTCCTGGAAGTCGTCATCCTGGGCCGTTGATTCCAATCAGGTTTTGTTCATTTCTCCATTTCTTCCAAGTCCAAGTCACATTGCGACTGACGGTCCATCAGTCTGTCGTGGTGTTGAGCCCCAGCCTAACATGAAAGTTACTGTCCTGTTCATTTGGGGCGCCCTCTGTGACGAGAGGTCGGGTCTGTCATTTGTCAGTCATAGTTCGTATTAGTAAGTCCATTGTCAGTATTTACATATATTTACAAATTTAATCTTAATTCCTATTTCTATGTACGATATATACAAGGCCTCTTGTCAGTACAGGCTCAGTACAGCAGATTATGCCCTATTTCTGGTAGTATTTGCTACCACGGCAGTCTAGTCACTTATACCAGAAAATATAAGAGGCTTAAACTTGGTGGCAGTCAGGCATACGTCCGTTCGAGCCCTGGTCATCACATAACTTGAGAGCCAATGTCTGGCTTTGTTAAAATTATATATTGTAGGTCCTTCCACAGATCTATCCAGTCGTCTGTCTTTCAACCTAGAGTCGATGTCCAAACTGTTGGATCAGATTTAAAATTTGCCATTGGAGACTTTCGTTACAAATTGTTGCACTATTCTGATTTTGAGCCAGAATGACCCATAATAAAGTCTGTTTTACTTAAACCTCAAAATGGGCTTTTTCAAGTATTGTATCATTAACAATGAATCAAATTTTATAGCCAGTAAGCAAGCCCAGTGAACTGCAAGGAATGATTTTGGAAATATTTTGAGGGTACTCCCTTTCCAGTGATATTACCCTCAAGTGCCACACAGAAAACTAGAATCTGCACTACTGTACTGACCAGTGTACATGTGGTGTCTGCATAACACTGTATTACTTTGAATATAAGATGCCCTCAGATTTAAGATGCATCTTCAGTTTTTTAATGTGGGTTTTAGGAAGAAAATTAGAAAGGTGCACGTTTCTCAAATTTAAGATGCACCTCAGTTTGTCAGTGGGAAGAAATGTGTAAAATGTGCATCTTATATTTTAAATGATACAGTATTACTGATATTGTGTACACTTAGAACCTGGTGGGTAAATGGAAGGTTAGCCTATCCTGCACCAGAAAGCACACTGTAACAAGTATTGATTTTTCACATTGCAACATACAAAAAAGATATAGATTTGGGCACTATAGTAATTTTCCAGTTTTTGTGAGAAACTGCATGTGGTTTTATCCATGTTGCTCGTTGCTTGTACTTTAAGCTGAAGGAAGTATACAGCTGAAGAAATTTGCTGCAGTGACTTCTGAATAGAATCCAGGCCTGGATATCCATTTTTTCTTGTGATATTCAATAGTTTCTCCAGGAAAATGGGTGCCCTCCTTTGCATTTCTGAGTTACAGTCTTATCTCAATGCAGTGTGTTGTTTCATTACAGGTAAGCAGTGTTTCATTGTTCTTCGCCAGCAGCAGTACACTGTCCAGTGCCTTATTGCTGTCAGTGAGGTGGTGAGCAAGTTTATGGTCAAGTTTGCTTCCAAGTACGTACATTACATTACATTGTGATGACATTAACTTCTGCATTTCAGCCATCAACTTTACTTAGTAATTGTCATGATTATACTTTCCTCCTAATGCATGGCTGGGATATTCTCCATGTGGAATCTAGCACTACATTAAGTATAGAAACTAAGCATGCTCCAGTGCTGTCATTTCATAATAATACAGATTTCACCGTCAGACCAACTATAATTTATTAATTTATGTTTCACTACATTTTTCGACCCTTATAGGATCATCCTCAGGTGTTGTGATTTACACATCTTCATTTTTGAATTGTGAAGTATATATACATATTTACATACATAGACCATGCAGCAGAGCATACCACATAAATTAGATAACAAAACAGTAACAATAGACATCCTGGAAATAAGAAGGAAGATAAATTTGTGCTTAACCCTTTCCTGTTGTATGTCGATATGTAATCGGCATTGAGTATGTTCTTCAGCAGACAAATGTTGATATATGATCACAAGTTTCTTACGTGTTTCTCCGATGATAAGTCAGTCATATGTCGCCACTTGACCATGTATACTATATCATTTCAATCATGAATGTTTAGTCTGCATTCTCCTGCCATATGGACATCATAATTTGAACTACTTGAGGAATGAATGCCATTCATAAATTACTGTGTATTGGTGTTAGCAACATGGCTTCGCGTTCTTGTACATGTGTGCCTTTTGGCATGAAAAAACTGAAATATAATGCCGTGTGTGTTGAGAATGAAGAGTCAGTTATTGCTTTGTTAAATGAAGAACTCAGTGTAGATTCTGATGATCAGATGGATGTGGAAAATGTAGAAGAAACTGCGAATGAAGAATCCAGAAACAAAGTGTTATGTGTGTTGATGGGTGGGAAGACGTGACGATGGGGGACGAGACACCCAAGGCATTAACATTTACTAAAAATGCAGGACCACAATTTAACCTTCCAGAGGCTGAGCCCATGGATTATTTTAGTTTATTTTTCAATGACAAGCTTTTGAATAACATTGTTACAGAGACATAAAAGTATGTGAGACACAAAATTTCACAACTTCAGCTTAGCCTGATGTCTATTTGGAGTAGCTGGTCTGATGTGTCAGTTCCTGAAATGAAGGCGTTTTTAGGTCTAAATATAAATATGGGCCTAATGCCATTACCCGGCATGAAAGACTATTGGCCTAGTGATTGGTCAACACAGATACCATTTTTTGGTGATGTAATATCTAGAGTTCACTTTTTGCAGATATTTTTAATGATTAATGTGGAAAATAATACCACCGAAGAAAGCAATCAGGCCACCAAGAGAACAAGGACCATACACAGGATGGTAGAATATATAGAGAAACAATTTCAGAAATATTTTGTGCCAGATAAAAACATTGCAATAGATGACTCAGCAGTTGGGTTCAAGGGAAAAATAATTCTCAAAACTTATAATCCAAAAAATTCTACAAAGTGGGGCATCAGATTGTTTGTATTAGCAGATATTGACATTGGTTATGTTCATAGTGTAATTCCATATTATGGAAAACTTACAGGTGACATGTGTAACTTGCCATACTCAGAAAAAAACTGTCACTTCAAGAATAGTTCTTTCCTTGATGGAGAGACTAGATCTCAGTGTATCTGGTGCTGAAAGCTACCACCTTTTCACTGACAGATGTTATAATAGTGTTCAGTTGGCCCAAGAATTTGACAATTGAAAATGCCACACAATAGGCTCCATTATTGCTGATAAGAGTTAGCAATCCAAAACCAGTGAGGAAGGGGGTCATGAAGGAAATGAAGAATGGGGACACTTTTGCCTACAGAAGAGGGAATGGACTGGAAAGACAAGAGGGTTTTTCTCATGATGTCTACATATTATGACACATCAATGGAAAAAATGGTGACCATTCAGAAAGGAGGGCAACAGAAAGAAATTCAAAAGCCAATGTGTGTACTTGACTATACATAGCATATGGGTAATGTAGGTCGCAGTGCTCATTACTGCACAGTGTATGCTTTCATTCGTAAATCTCTGAAGTGGTGGAGAAAACTCTTTCTGGTGCCTGGAAGTATGTATTGTAAATGTATACATTTTGTACAGCAGCCATAAGGTACACATAGGAGTGAAACCAATGTCACATGTCAGTATCGACGAGCTGTTGTTGAAAATCTAGTAGGCAATGTGTGCAACACAAGAAAGAGGTCACGTCTGGGGTCAGCTGAGAGAGAAGAGAGACTAAATACAGCGCCTCACTTCCTCTGCCACTATGAAAACAAAAGAAAAACAAAGACTGCGTTGTGTGCAGCAATCAGAAGGTAAAGGGAGCCAGAAAAGAAACATATATTTGTTGTAAGATCTGCAAAAATCAACCAGCCTTGTGTCCTGGAGAATGTCTCAAAAGATATCACACTCTCAAGAATTTCAAGTAGTTTTAGTGTAGGTCCTATAGTTTATCAGGTTTTTGTTGTTTGTGTACATAGATGTGTAAGTGATAATTATAAGAAGAAAGGAATATGCATATAATTTACAAGGTGCGGCAATAAAGAAACCGGATTACTTTTATGACTCATTTCTGGCCATGTCAATGACAAAGAGGAGGGTAGGGCATTGACCCATGGACTTCCCTCTACCGTCACACAAAGTTTCATTCATGCACATCGGTTAGTCTGGCCGCGACCATTGTTAGAAGCGGATCGTGTGTCTGAGCTCCGTCGGAATAATGCTAAGTGCTAATGTAGAACAACGTGTTAACATCAGATTCCTCACAAAACTTGGAAAATCTGCCACTGAAACTTACAATTTGTTGACAGAAGTATATGGTGATCAGTGTCTATCTCGCACGCAAGTTTTCGAGTGGTTTAAGAAGTTTATGGAGGGTAGGAAAAACGTCGGGAACGATCCAAAATCGGGCCGTCCTCCCACTGCGAAAACTCCAGAGAATGTGGAGAAGGTCGCTAGAATTGTTCGAAGAGATCGTCGACTGAGCATTCGAGCAATTTCTGAACTTACCAACATCAATAACGAAAGTGTTACACAGATTTTGCACGACGATCTGGGCGTGAAAGAGGTGTGTGCTAAAGTGGTGCCAAAAATCTTTTCCCAGCAAAAGGAACATGGAGTGAATTGCTGTGTTGACACTCTTGAAAACATTGAAAATGATCCTGATTTCTTCCAAAACGTAATTACGTGTGACAAAACTTGGATTCTTCAATATGATCCAGAGCCTAACCACAATCCATGCATTGGAAGAGCCCCAAATCCCCTAGGAAGAAGAAAGCGCGCATGAGCAAGTCCAAATTCAAAGCAATGATGATTGTTTTTTTCGATATCCGGGGGGTAATCTGCATTGATTGGGTGCCTGAAGGTCTGACTCATTCAGGTTTATTATAAAAATGTTTTGACGTACCTCCGTGAACGTGTGCGACGAAGGAGACCAGACATGTGGAAGAATGCCTCATGGGTTCTTCATCACGACAACGCGCTATCTGTGAAGAGGTATTTGGCAAAAAACAACATTCCAGTGATGGAACATCCACCGTATTCTCCAGACCTAGCACCGTGCGACTTTTTTCTCTTCCCGAAAATCAAGTCTGTGCTCAAAGGGACCAGGTTCTAGTCCGTGGATGCAGTGAAAGCAAAAGCGACCCAACTCTTGAAGAGCATAACACAAGATGACCTGCAGCACTGCTTCCAACAGTGGAAAATTCGCATGGAGCGGTCTAGGGATCGGGGAGGGGACTACATTGAAGGGGATAACATTTCGATTGTCTGATTTTTTTTCAGTAAAGGGTTAGAGCATGAATCCGGTTTCTTTATTGCCGCACCTTGTATACTAAAGAACAGCAGACAGTGATGGCTATCATGACAAGGACCGTAACAGATCCAGCAACATCAGAGGACGTGGAAGAACAGCGAGGCCTCCAAAAAGTGACAAGTGCAATCAATAATAAAATTGAACTTTAATTCATGAACTTTTAACCAATAATATAATTAAACTAGTTAAAGTGAACTTGACGCAGTGATGAGCGTAAGTAGGAAGTGACTGAATAACAAGTGAAAGTGAAAGCATAACTAGTGATCTGAATTGAAATTCGATTCACAAACTTTAAATTTTTTAAACAATTTTAAATTTAAATTTTAACTTTTGACTTTTAGAACAGTTTTAACTTGTGTTTTATGAGAGAGCCTGATATATTATTGAGCGTGAGCCTGAATAAGATACAGGATTGAATAAGTGAGAAGACGAATGTGGATTGCGTGTAATTATACAGCTGTGTTCGTACACCTGAGGATGACCTCTTGAGGTCGAAACATGTCATGTAATAATAATAAAAATATGTTGTGTGGTCGGTAAAATTGACTCTAATATTGATTAAATACACAACAGGATGCAGGAAACAATTAAAATTATAGCTAAGCTGGGGTTTAATAAAATTACATAACTTGGAAGTGCATGGTTTATACTGTTGAGGCAATATGGTTGGTATTTTAAATCACGGGATTAAAGAGAGCTTGTTATGCATTGTGGGTGGGTAAGGGTAAAAAGAAGTTGCCCCTGTGCTTAATTAATTAATCAATCATGATACCATGAACATGTGTGGGGGAGTGGAGGTACAGCTCCACCATTCTTGACCCTAGCAGTTATGTAGTATGGATAGTGGAGAGAAACGGTTTAATGGGAACAGGGCATCTTGGAAGACCAAGAAATGCATGAGAGAAGCTATTAAAATGGATGTTACAGAAATTAGTTTTGTGTGCAAATGCTTGATGTAGCTCAGTATATGGAGTCTCCAGATTTCATGAAATATGGGTGTCAGGTAGTACGGTGAGAACATTTTGGGGAAAGTACTCAAAAGCCCCTTAAGCATAGGAAGATTTGACCTCAAGCCCTATGCTTTTATTAAATAGTATGAAAACTTGCAGTATCACAAAGGAATCCATTGTGGACATAGAAGCAGTAGTTCGTGAAGTGGGCTCCAAGATTGAGAGCTGTACCCAGAAGAATGTGGAGCTTCATGTGACACAGCTGTTCACTGTATCCCCTGCCAAGAGTCAGTTGCCCCTACTCATAGAAGATGCAGCTCGTCCCATCAAGGAAGATGAGGTGAGGTATGGTGAGATTCAAAGTTGATAAATGAAACTTTGAATTATATATAAATGCATTGGAGTGAAACAGAGCTCTAAAGCTGCTTTATTAACATCAGACTGCACTTATCTATACATACAATGAATATAAATACACACATCTAACAGCAGTTCACAGCAGGCAATGAAATGAACAAAAACTGAATTCTGTGATATTCAATTATGAGGAAATGTTATGAAATTAATTGTTTTTGATACCATTAACCATTTGATGATCAGTGTGATTCAGGTTTTTAGACGAGGATCTGCAAGATTTAATTCCTTTTTAAAATGTACTCAGCCATAAACAAAAAGCTTAAGGTAGAAAATATATATGATTTACTCTAGTAATGACTTGGTGACAGTTTGTATCTGACCATATTTCAGAGAATACAGAAAAAGTTTAAACATGAATTAATCTGCAACAATACAGTCACCTCTAGATCATTTCTTGACTAGCTTCTGAAGGAGGAGTGTGCCTTGTGGAGTTAGCAGTGAAATATGAGACACATGTTCATACGCATAAAGAACGAGTAATTAAAATACATTTTGACCATGAAGTTCAGTGCACACTGGTGACAATTGCTAGGAGAGACTGGTTTGGTAAAGTACCAGTTTCATGGCAAGTACCAAGTAGTGGTAAAATTATGGCACATTTATCAAACGAGGGTGTATGTATTCAGTGCATGTATAAAGTAAATTTTCATAGCAAATATCGTTTTAATCCATCACATATTTGACCTCTTAGGTCACAGCATTAAAGTCAGTGGTGCTGAACGTCTCTATTCAAAAGCATGAGGTTTTAACTGTTACGTAGAAAGTTAGTAAGCTTTGATATCATTGTTCATGCTGCATGTAACTTTCATGATGACCGAAGTATAATATGTCCTGTGTTTACAATATGCATGGAGGTAGCCCAAGCTGTACATTATATTGTTTGTTCCAGGATATGGAAGGTTTGAACATCCGTGTTAACCAGGATACGCGATTGGACAACCGAGTGCTTGACCTAAGGACACCAGCTAATCAGGCCATCTTCCGCCTTGAGGCTGGTGTTTGCAGACTGTTCCGAGACATTCTCACTGAAAAGGTATGTTTTAATGCATCTTAACATATGCCATTGTCACCCTCAGAACTGCCTGTTACATGTGCTGTGCACCTCTCTTTCCATCATGAATTTTCTCCTTTTTTTTTTTTTAAATTAATTCTTAAGTATGCTTCTGAGAAGTCTGAGTGACCAATGAAATGTTTTTTGCTTAAAATTTTTCACTGGAAGGATGTTTATTAAAGTCTGGCAATTGTGGTAGTTAAAATTCTACATAAGAAATCCACAATTTGCACACAGTGTCCTTTGTGTATGTCACTTGTTAGTATTATGTTATAGTTTTTGAAAGCAGTATTTCGACAAGAGGATCTCAAAGCTTCTGTAGCAAGTACTGTATTGATATAGAACAGATTTATGTTTATTTAATAACATTTTCAGTATCTCAGATTGTATAGTAAAGATGATAGAACAGTTAATGAATAGTGAATTGGAAAAGCTAAGGAAAGAAATGATAATGCCATAATCTGAAGAACTAACCCAGCATTTGGCTGGCAAGACTGAGGAAAAACATCAGATATGTTAAGTCAGAGTAGCTGATCTCTGGGCCGAGATTTCAGCCTTACTTGCCAGCTGCCTTTTAGCCCCAGGAATACAGGTATTCCTGGTACTCATTTCTGTTAGAGGCTGAGTCGACCCCAGGGCCATAATGCGGCTCGAAGGATTAGGTCAATTGAAAAAATCCACTTCATTGGGATTTGATCCTGCGACCTTCCGGCTTGTAGCATAGTGCCTCAACCAACTATGCAACCGCGGGCTCCACTTTTGAAAACAGTATAGGTAAAAGAATGCATTATTTTTGTACACATATACCAAATATCCTCACTTAATTTTGTTACGCAACCGCGTGCCCCACTTTTGAAAACAGTATAGATAAAAGAATGCATTATTTTTGTGCACATATACCAAATATCCTCATTTAATTTTGTTACATTATTTTTGACAATACTTGTTAAATGAGTATTCTGTCTGAATTAATGTAATTAAAGATGTCATATTCATGACAACCATTTTTGGTATGGAAGTTCTATTCCACACTTGACCAACAAGGAGGAAGATAAAACTTGCTCTGTATGTGGCTGCCTGTAGCACATTTTGTTACTGAAGTGAATACAATCTTGTGAATTTACTCTTTCCCCCAACCCCACCTCAAATTGCATTAAATATAAAATTGAAATTCAGTGACTGCTTCAAACAGAAATGTGAGAAAGCTTACCAAATAAAGGATGCCTTTGATCATTGTAATGAACCAGCTTTCAAGATCTGCAGCAGTTTGTAGTAAAGTTAATTCACTGCCTTAAACAAGAGTTGCAGCCCACATGTTAATCATACTGACTCTTTTGGAGAAAGAGTGTACAAAATTGATTGGAAATAGAGTGAAAGTGTTTATTTGAATAGGTGCAGTAAATTTATGAAAGTTTGCATATTATTAAATTAATTTTTCAGTACCTCTTGTGCTCCATCTGTCCACCTCTACTTCTCATGCCCCCTCCCTTTCCCCTGTCTTGTGATATGTTTCACTACACTAAATCTCAAAGATGATAAGACTGAGTGATGGATCATATGATATGCTACAGGGTTTTGTGGAGATCCATACCCCAAAGATCATTCCAGCAGCAAGTGAGGGTGGTGCCAATGTGTTCACAGTGTCATACTTCAAGGGCTCTGCATATCTTGCCCAGAGTCCACAGCTGTACAAACAAATGGCAATAGCAGCTGACTTTGATAAGGTGTTCACCATTGGAGCTGGTAACTGTCAGCCAAAATCAGACTTACATGGAAACAGATTATATTAAATTTGAGGGTCTTTTGGAAAGTAACCTCTGGTGAGTCGTTAACAAAAAAAACAGTGAGAAAAAAATTGATTTTACAAAAAATGACATACTTAAGCTACCTCTCAACATAGTCACCACTGGAACAGAGGCACTTCTCATATTGGGGAATAAGTCTTTGTATGCATGTGGGAAAGAAGTCTGCTGCCTGTGAGCCCAGCCACTTTTTGAGAACTTCCATCACCTCTTTGTTATTATTGAAGGGCCATGATCTCAACAAGTTCTATAGGTAGGTAAGCAAGTGGTAGTCACTTGGATTTAGGTCAGGGTTGTAAGGAGGGTGGTCAGACAACAGTTGAAATGCTCCAGCTGTATGCGGACGCACATTGTCATGGAGGAGCATTACACCAGATGTCAGAATTCCAAGCCTTCTGTTTTGAATGATCCTCTGCAGTTTTTCTAGTGTTCCGCAGTACAGTTGTGATGTTATTGTGGTCCCTTGTTGCGTGAATTCCACTGTCGGCATGCCTCTCCTGTCCCATAAACCAGATGCCATCAGCTTTCTGGCAGGCAGACAGCGTTAGTTTAAACTTCTTCAGCTTGTTTCGTGAATGTGTGTGCATCTGCTTTGACTGCTCTTTGGTTCTAACTGTAATAATACTTGTAGAGGACAGTGTGTGAAATTTGTGGAAATTTACACAAGTTTTGGAATTGTGAAGCATTGTCTTTCACAAATATTTTGATCAACAGTTTGAATAAGATTGTCACTCACTACAGATGGCCGACCACATTGGTTTTCAACATGGACATTTGTTTATCCATCTCTGAACATTCTACACCATTGTTTTACAGTTCCTTTACTCATATTTTGGCCATAAACCGTGCATAATTCAGGATGGATTTTAAACACTCATGTTTTTAGCGTGAAGAAAGTGGATAACATTGCAAATTTTGCAGCTGGCAGGATTATCATACACAGGACACATCACAATGCATTCTGTATAGACAAGAACAAACACAAGGTGACCAGTTATGTGATGGTTTGGAAGGCAGTGAATTATGTGATGCCACCTCGCATGCCCTAGCTCTCCTACATAAGTGGAGGTTACTTTCTGAAGTGCCCTCATATAAATGGGCAGTGAATGGGATCAACATGAATGAAAGTTATATTATCTATTTTAGTTCTAAAGTCATCATCATTTTTTCAGAAAATGAAATTCTGAATTTGACCTTGATTTAAATTATTATAGCTTAAAGTTCAGTATAATCTGTGAGCCAAGAACCTCCTTTGACAGAGAGAATCCTGGCTCTCAGCACAAGGTACAGTGCATGTATGCTATAAACTTCAGTTTAATTAGGAGCTCATTCCAGTCCTCATTTCCATTTTTAGCCTTTTTTCTTTATTTTGAGTGTTATTAAAGGAGGCTTATTAGATCTACCTTGCTGTCTGTGTGTCTTCTCCTACCAACTTTTGAATGCAGCGTGACATAATGCCAGAAAGCTGGTATAGTGGAACCAGAAGAGATGGTAATTGCTAGACAACAGCTCAGTAAACATGTTGTTTAAAGGAAAGTAGGTGATTAGAACTTTTCATTGTTCTTTGTCACACTGATTCCAGCTTTAATGAAGCAGTGTTCCTTAAGTTCACAAGTCACAGCTCTCAGTGCATACCAAGGCAGCTAGAATCTTCCTTATGCTGTAAGTTGAAAATGATAACTGGGTCAGGACTCTGTAACATCTTTGTGCAGATAGCAGGAAGGAAACTCCCCTTTACATGTCTGGTGGGTACGCTGCATGCTTACCCACAAATCATAATATTTCTCTATGAATTCCTCCATTTTCTTATCAAATCCTTTTTAGGAGCCTGTGAATATATTCAACATGGTCAGTGCTTTGTTGTTAAGCACCTTTGCATAGCAGAGAATATGTATGTTATTAGAACACCTGGAATTCACAAAGGTTCCAATTAGAATTATTTTTCACGCCATCTGAATTTATGCAAAGTAAGGCAAACAAATACTGAAGAATGCTGTCATCTGGAATGTGACACCATGTTGTCTGGTACAAGGTTACTGACATCTTGGTGGAATGTTGGTAAACTTCTGCCAGACTTCATAGTGTCTGAACCCAGAGGAGAGCTTTCCTCCTAGTCAGTGGAAATTGCCATTTGAATAGAAATGTGAATCAGTTGAATGGCCTAGTGTTTACAGAATTAATTGCATGTCTCTTTTTCTTTTATGACACTTGTCATTTTTAGTAGTTCTGCTGTCCGGGACCATTCATAGAGTAGACTTCATGTAGAAAACGCAGCTTCAGTTGATATACATGTTTTGCAGTGTTCCGAGCAGAGGACAGCAACACCCACCGGCACCTAACTGAGTTTGTGGGTCTAGACCTAGAGATGGCATTTAAGTATCATTACCATGAAGTCCTTCACACCATCGGGGACACGTTTACGCTGATGTTTAAAGGGCTACGTGACAGGTGGGATGAAATATGATATTCACATTGCAGATTTACATCCACATCAATATAAGTAACTTATGTTACAAAATGATCTGTTCTACACAGTAAGGCGGCAAACTGATGTCCTCCACTTCTCAGCATCTTGTCCAGCCAAGTAGACTTGTCCAGCTGCATGATTGCCCAAAAGAAGGAAATATTGTTTCAAAGTATTTGCCAAGACTCCTGGCATGATATCTAAAACTGATTTCTTGATTCTTTATTAGGTATAAGATTGTGGCTGCATAGTGCTATTGTGGATTCATTAATCCTATGTTGAAAAAATTACAGCCTTACAATGTAGAACTTGAGCCTTACTGGAAATATAAGATCTTGTACCTGAATCAAACACAGTGTTGTGATATCAACTTAGTATTGCTGTAGGTATGCTGATGAGATTGCTAGTGTGGGACAGCAGTTTGCAGTGGAACCGTTCAAGTTTCTGGACCCTCCACTTCAGTTGGAGTTCCCAACAGCAGTGGCAATGTTGCGTGAGGCAGGAGTAAACATGGGAGATGAGGATGACCTCAGCACACCGGATGAGAAGCTGCTGGGACGACTCATCAGAGCTAAAGTATGATAATCATATTTCTGTTAGAGAAGCAAATAAGCCTAAAGTATTGTCCAGTAAATGCCATTTTAAGAGGAAGTGAATGGAGAACTTGGAGAAACAAGTGATGTCAATTTTGTGACCTGTAAAACACCAGAGCTTATGCTGTTACAGAGTAGCAAGTTATAATCCCTTAAATATGTCATCACACTTCAATAAATATTATTCCTATTTTGAAAACTGTTATGCCTCCTATTGTACCAGATACACAGAGTTATTTGATGGATATGACATGACATTCATACAAAGTTAGTTGTGAAATGTTTCACAAGGTCAGTAGCAATTAGCAGGCTCCACAAAGAGGCAAGCAGAAAGGTGGCAGTTGAAATTAGAATATGTCATCCTGAAGATCAGTTCTGGAAACTGGGACTGAACGGGGTTTCGTATAAAACATTTTGGGGTTATAAAATTTTTTACTCTTTGAATTATAGTGATTTTTTAATTTTGATTGAACACTGGATTTTCTCTTAACTCCATTTCTGTCTTGACTCTGTCCAGAAGATGACAGCTGATACTTTGCTTTGCAGTATGACACCGACTTCTATATCCTGGATAAGTACCCCTTGGCAGTACGACCATTTTACACGATGCCAGACCCGAAAGACAGTGTGAGTTCAAGTTTTAGTCATGTTTACAATATTATATTTAAGCATCCTGTTACACAATATATGAGACAAACTCCGTCTTAAGTGCAACAATTCAATTGTAGTTCTTTCTTCTTTCCTTCCTCTACACTACATGTTTCGGCCCTAAATGGCCATCATCACATGTATATTCTTACGTAGCTGCTACACTGCCCATAGTTTAAAATTTAAAACACCAGTCTTTCCAATTGTATGTATGTATGTATTAAAGATAGGCAGTGGCACACGCACAGAGAGCCTACACAGAACAATACCTGAACAGCGATAAAACAAGAAGTGGCCGCTGCAGCACTGCAGACATAGGGCGAGTACCCCGAGAAATTTTAATTTTTAAAATTTGGAAAAGAATGGAAAATTTAAAGACATTTTAATTTGAAATTGAATTTTTAAAAAGTGCCAATTTTGGAAATCAAATTGACGTGTGTAGGTTAACACAGATTTTATACATACATACAATTGGAAAGACTGGTGTTTTAAATTTTAAACTACAGGCAGTGTAGCAGCTACATAAGAATATACACGTGATGATGGCCATTTAGGGCCGAAACATGTAGTGTAGAGGAAGGAAAGAAGAAAGAACTACAATTAAATTTTTGCACTTAAGACGGAGTTTGTCTCATATATTTTAGTCATATGTTGGTAACAATGGAATATGCATACATATACACTTAATGTTTAAAATTGTAGCTTTATAGTATACTAACTTGTTCACTCCATGGTACAGCATCTTCCCTGATCACTTACTGTAGTTATCTCTTTGATCTATCTTAACTGCTTTTCTCCAGGTCACATTTTCACAGCCAGCTTCTCAGAGGTGTGTTAAGACCCTGCTTCCATCTATAACTTGGCATCCCAAATAGGTTATTTATATGAGTCTTCCAGTCCAGGCATTCATTACGATAACTGTTATTTGGGATGAAATGCTGTGTAGTCTGGTGGAATGTTATCAAATTTTGGAGGAACATGCTGGCTGCATCATGGTTTTCTAAAGCAAGCTGCATCTTTGCCAATTTAATTCTTCGTGATGTAGTCTGTCTGGTTGGTAAATTGCTGCTGGACCTCACCATGACAGACATTCTTGGTTTTGGGTCCTATGGGACTTGTGACAATATTTTCCTGTCTCACAAATCTGGGAGTCTTGTGACACTTTCCCATGATGTAATTGCCATGTTGAATTTGTTAAATGTACTATTCTCTGCAAAACTGATATCTAATAGCATAAGTATAGTAATGTAGTAGTGCAGTGGTGAGCTGTGGTTACAGTTCAGTCACATCAGTTGATTATATATGCACATTCAAGGTCAGTCATTGTTTCATTCCTGCTTCAGAAATCCCTTTTTCATTTATGCTGAGTCCTGATGTATGTGACTTGCCATGCTCCTACATTAATTGTATGACATTTTAGCTAGGTTTATTTTTTCTTTCAACAGATGTCTTATAACAGCATTGTTCCTATACATGTCACATATTGCCTGATCTGTCTTGGATTTCACAGTACTGCTTTGTGTTAAAGTGACACTACCAGTGTGTGTGAATGACTGGTGCCACTATTATTGCAGCATATTTTGTACTTTGATCATTAGACATGCAGGGCACATAGACTTCAAATAGCCCTCATACTATTTTTAATAATGGATTGTGTCAAATGTGCCCATTTTATTTGCTGAAAGTCAATCAAATTTATGTGTTTGTTGACACCGCTGTATTTGTGTATGGTACATAGAGTCACAAATATTGATGCAGTGCTGTCCCTGGTAAGTTAACACTTTGTGGGCCGCGCGCCCTTTAAAAGGTTTTTCGCTTTTAAACATGGCGGACCATTCGCGTGTTAACAAGTTTTTAAAACACGATAAGTTGCAACACATTATACATCTCTCTGGCTCCACCTAGCTAGCACGTAGCTGCTTGCAGCTGCATTATAAGGCTCTGGAACACATTTTAGATCAATTCAACAAGCAAAATAAAAACTTGCAATTCACACTAAATGAAGAGAAAAATAATCAAATAACGTACCTAGACTTAAAACTAACTAACAACCACGGGCAAGTAAGAATGGAGATATTTAGAAAATCCACAACGACAGACACAACGATAAACAATAAATCTTGCCATCCCAAAGAACAAAAATTGGCAACGTACAAAAATTGGCTACATAGATTATCCATCCTACCTATGGATAACGCAGCAAAAAATAAAGAATTAAACATAATTATTAACATCGCGGAAAACAATGGTTACAATAAAGAACTCATCACACGAATGTATCATAAACTTCAACAACAAAAAACAAATGTCCCCATTGAAAGAAGAGAACAGAAATGGGTCTCCTACACATATAACGGAATCTACACAAGAAAAATTACGAAACTATTCAAAAACACGAACGTAAGAATAGCTTTTAAAGTAAATCACACATTAGGTAAAATACTAAACCACAAACAAAGCATAAATTCTTAGGAACAAAGCGGCATATACAAATTGACCTGCCAGGAGTGCCAACAAGTGTATATAGGTCAAACAGGCAGAAAATTGGTAACACGCTATAATGAACATATAAGAAGTATAAGATTCAATAAAAATGA